AAGGGATTATATGTGGCAATCCCCACCCCCATATGCTTTCTGTCCCTCTGGGGAGCACAAGCACCCTATAACAAAAATCTCTCCAAAAAACAAAACAAAACCCAACATAAAACAAATGGAACAAATAGAAAACAAGTAACAAAATGAAAAGCTTAAAACCAAATATAAATTACATTAAGTGTTAATGGTTTAAGTACTCTAATTAAAAGGCAAGAAATTGCCAGAATAAATAATAAAGACCCAACAATTTCCTGTCTACAAGAAAGAAGCTTTAATTATAATGACAAGTTAAAAGTAAAATATCGGGGGCCAGCATATAGCATAGCAGTTATGTTGCTGGACTCCCACATGGCTGACAATGGTTTGAGCCCCAGACCTGGTGGCCTGAAACTCACTCTGGGTGCATTTGCGTGCCCAAGATCATAGGAGAATGGAGGAGATTCCCCTTGAGGCAATCACCCCTCTGGGAGGTGATTTCTCACTTTCCCTCTATCTCTTGTCTCTCTCTCTCTCCCCAGCAGCACACGCACCCTAAGGCAAAAAAGGAAAGAAAGTAATGCTATTCAAGAGAAGTCTGGGAGCCCCCCCCCTCCCATGATGAAGGCAGATGAACTGGCCCAGTCAACCTGAAACACACCAGGCCTATGGGCAAGATCTAATGGGCTAAAGGAGTAGAGGAAGGAGATCAGAGAATGGCCAGACCCTGTGGAGGGTGTTTATCGCTTTCTCTCTAATGCTCACATGCATGTGTACATGCTCTATCATAAATCAAGAAAAATATTTGGGTGAAACATTGGAGGGCCGGCTCCATGGCCTAATGGTTAAAAGAGCTGGATCCCACGTGTCCAACCCTAGCTTGAATCCTAGCCCTGGCAGTTTCAAAAATATACCAGGGACATGCACATATGGGTCCCAAATCTCTACAGGATGGAAAAATGTGGACAGGACTGGGATGTGCCTATCCCCTCTCCCCATCTGTCTCTCTGGTGAGTGCATATGCCCTCTGGTAATTTTTTTTAAAAAAAGGAAGGGCCAAGGGCTAGATGGCCAACTGAGCAGTTTGAGTCCTGGACCCAGCAGCCTGAAAAACACGGTGGGCACATGTGCGTGTGTGCACAGAATCCCAAAAGGAGGGAGAAATGGAGAAGGGATTGCAGTGTCTGCTTCCCATGGGAGGGTGCTTTCTCACATTCCTCTCCTCTTATCAGTGAATATATGTGCTCTCTGGCAAGTTTAAAAAAAAAAAAAAGGCAATGACTTACATGAGATAAAAATGCTACAAAGAGAAATGAAATTTAAGTTTAGAGGTAGAATTGTAAAAATATAGACTAGCTGGTAGCATTATGGTTAAGGAACCTGGGTCCAAAAACACATTAAAAATGTTTTTAAAAAAGGAACCTGGGTCCCACACTGACGACTGCTTGGTCCAGGGTCCTGGACCCGGCAGCTTGAAAAACACATCTGGTGCATGTGCATGCCCAAAATATACAGAGAGGAAAAGGAAAGGGACTGTGGTGCAGCTATCCCCTTACGGGGGGGGAGGGGGGAAAGGGGGTGCTTTCTCACTTTCCCTCTTTTTCTCTCTCTCACCCCAGCAAGTGCACACACCCTTTAGTAAATTAAAATAAAAAAAAATTATGGAAATCTAATAAATGAATGAAGTAACCTTAACAAAACTCAAGAAAGAGGCCAGCAGGCATAGTAGTTAAGGTGCTGGACACTGACATGAATGACCACGGTACAATTAAGGTGCTGGACACTGACATGAATGACCACAGTATAAGTTCGGACCTGGTGGCTTGAAACTCACACCAGATGCATGTGCATACATGCCCCAAATCCTGAAAGAATGGAAAAGAAGGGATTGTGGAGTGGCCATTCCCCCCTCCTTTGTGTCTTTGGTGAGCACATGCACCCTTATAGCAAAAACCTCACTAAAAAAAAGGGAAAAAAAAAGTTTGGCAATTCTTAAAAAGTTAAGTATTCAGTTGTTATATGACTCAGCGACTGAACTCCTGGATATATGTATTCCAGAGGAATAAAAACTTACTACCACAAAAAGACTTGTAAGTAAATATTCATAATCTATTCATTCAAATTACCCAAAAAATGAAAATAACAAATGAAAACGTCTAACAGGAAGCAAATAAGCATTGTGTTATAGTCACATAATAAAATACTACTCAGCAATACGAAGGTGTAAACCACTGAAACATGGGTGGAGCTCAAAACCACTTTACTGAAAGAAGCTAGATACAAAAGAGTAGATGTTATTTTATTCCTTTTACAGCAAGTTTTAGAAAAGTCAAAAACGAATCTTATAGTGACAGAAACCTGAACAGTGGTTGCCTAGGTGAAGGGAAGGAGTGGCAAAGAAAAAGGAGGAAACGGCACCAGCAGGTGGCGTGTTGGTTAAGGCACTGGACACTCCCACATGGCTGACTATGGTTCAAGTCCCAGACCTGGTGCCTTACTTTCTCACTTTCTCTCTCTCTGTTTTTGTGTCTCTCTGGTCAAATTTTAAAATAAATAAATAAATAAATAAGATTATAAATAAATTATTAAGAAAAAGAAAAGGAAAAAGGAGGAAACTATGTGGATTGATGGAAATATTGTGGATCCCAATTGGGCTGGGGTGATCACAGGGATGTGTGTATAGGTCAAAATTCATCCAACAGGCTAGAAGGTTGTAGAGCAGTAAAACGCAATGCTGAGAGGCTGACCCCCTTGGGTCATCAACCATCAATCACTTCCCAGGTTTCAGTAATTGTACATTCCTAATGTATTCAAATACTCAGTTGACTCCAACTGTTCTTCCCCTCCCTGTCCCCTGACCCCCTCAGGTCCGTTCTTTCCACGGTCTCATTCATTCATGCACTCAGCATTCATTTCCTCGGTACATAAAACTTGCCGCCACTGCTCCAGATGTTGTTGATCCTACGCTGAACAAAAAACCCAGGCATGATTGCAAGTCTCAAGGAGTTTAGTGGTGGGGAAGGGAGGGACAAAAAGCAACCGCTATTAATCAAATAAATACAAGATGTACAATTACTTCTGTGATTCTTTTTTTTTTTGGGGGGGGATGTTTTTGCCATAGGGCACGTGCACTCGCCAGACAGAGAGACAGAAAGCGAGAAATCACTCCCACTCCGGAGTGATTTCTCCGTTCTCCGCCGCAATCCCTTCTCCTCCATTCTCCTCTCAGGATCTTAGGCACACATGCACACACGCCCTGCGTGAGTTTTAAGCCGGGTCTGGGACGTGAACCGCGGTCGACTACATGGGAGTCCAGCAACATAGCCATTACGCTAACTGCTGGCCCCTTCTGTGATTCTTAATAATAGGTCACATATACTGAGCATTTACTATGTTTCAGGCAGTCGGCTGAGCATTTTAAATGTAGTAACTCAATAAAACCTCCCACTAACCTTATCCAATAGATATGAGGTATCATTGCCCTCATTTCACAGAAAAAGAGAACAGAGTTAGTATCTTGCCCCATATCACACATCTAATAAGTGTCTAGCCTAGTAAGGGAAGTCAAAGGAGACATTCCAGAGGAACTTAACACCGGGCTGAAGACTATGTTAGCCAGTGAGGAGGGGGTCAAGAACCACCCAGCCAGTGGGCAGAGGGGAAAGAATGTTCAAAGGCCCTGTGGAATGCAAGCGTATGGAATATATCAGAATTTTACATTAAAAACAGAAAGGCTGCAGGAGAACAAGTAGGAATATGATACAGTGGGTCAGGTGGGAGGAGGGTATGCTGAGTGGAAGTCCAGGCAAGAAATGATAGAGTGATGAGAAGAGACATGTAGGTGGATTTAAAAGACCTATGTGGAGTTAAAATATGCTTCCCCTGGTGATGTCCTGGACATCCAGAGTGATGAAGAATGCAGAAGAACGACCCTCAATATCTGGTTAAGGTAACATAACGGATAATGGTGGTGTCATTCTCAAGATCATGGACAGTGTCCTTCATCCATGCAGAGAATATCACAAGGCCCAGATGGAGGAAATTAAGGAATTTTCTTTGGGATATGTTGAATTTAAGATGTATTTTTTTTTTAAAAAAAGATATCTCTGAAATACCGGGTATGCAGATAAGATGACCGTCATCTTTAAAGCAGTCTTTAACGCAATTAGGGCTCTGCGCGAATAAGAACTTCTGAGCAATTGACATAGAGACGAAACTGCTTTGGGAGAAGCGGCCCTAAAGCGGTGTTAAGTCAACAAAGATTTACAGAGGGGCCTGCAAATAAGACGGGGAAAACCAGCCCAGCTGAGCCTCGGGAAGACCAGCCAAACTGAGCCTCGGGAAGGCCGTGTGGTCAGAAGGAAGCAACGATCAACAGGCGCAAACGCTGCAGAGAACTCCGGTAAGGTGAAGGCTGAAAGGTGTGCTGATCTAGCGGCTTGGAGGCCACCAGTTAACGTCCCGCCCGAGTTCGTTTTATAGCGATCGGAAGGGATGACTAAGTGGACGGTGAGACAATGAAACAGCTGAAAACAGACAACTCTACAGAGAAGTTCAGCTGCTTGGGGGAGGAGAGACCGAGCGGCCGCAGGTGGAGAGTTGGGGGTTGGGGGGCAAGTGTTTTGGGTTTGTTTAAGTAGGGAAAACGTGCGCACATTAAAAAGACGGTGAGAATTCCTGGAGCGATAGAGCCAGGGAGACCCACGGCAGCTCCTCCACCGCCCCCCCGCAATCTCTCCTCGTGTTCTCTCCCCAAGGCCCCCAGCTCCCCTCCTCCTCCAGTGCGCACGGCTCCCCCACCACCCCCACCCCTCCCCCGCTCCCAGGA